TTTACCGATAAATTTATTAGAAAAACCTACTACATACATGAAATAGTCTTTCGATATATAAATATATTCAAAACTTATAGTGTTATCAATGATATACCATTATTTCAATGACCATTCATACAAAAGTTTTGTTTTGTTTTTTAATTAATTGATCGCCTCGTTTTTCTTTTTAACATCGGGCTCGATGCTATATGATGTTCTAGAAGCTTCCGTCAATATTAAGATCGGTGAATGACGAAAATGATATGCATATTTCCCTCTTTAATCGGTTATCACAACTTATTTCTTTTATATCATTTAAATCAAGTTTTGATTGAATAATTCGTTGATGACGTTTAATTAAATAAATAAATGATTGCTTGTCAGTTTCTTTAAAAATTGCTTGTATCTTAGATCCGCCAACCGGAAACGCCACCGTACTCACGTTTTTGCTATTTCATGGCTGTTTATAGAAAATAAAAGTAGACTTTTAATTTTATGTACGATATTGACTATGCGAGTGAAATCTAAATATAGTTTACGGACATCATCTTGTATACATGTATTGTTAGAGAAGTAAGTAAGAACTCTGGTGCACCCGTTTCGGAGGTTATTTGCAAAATTTATTAATTTATAAGTGTAGATAGGCTTTATTTATTTCTTATAGGAAGAGGTGATGAAGATATTAAGGGAAATCATGGCGTGTACCCCCTCCCTTCCATGCACATTCAGGTTTTCATGTGTACGCATAGTGCTATTATCTAAGGGGTGATCAAAAAGTTCTCGAACTAATTGAATAACTTCCATAAAAGAAATGAAATTAGGTTTTAGTGTTCATTATTTTAAAGTAGTCCTCTCTGATTTGAATGTACATCTGCCACCGTTTTGCCCATGCGCGAATCACGTGACATGCTCCGTAGCGTTCTGTTCACAGAAGCTAAAAGATTTTTCCTAGTCTTATATTTCTTACCATACAAGCTTTTTTTTTTATAACAATAACAGTCCATTTGTCAGAAATGGCCTAACCTCGACAATAGGATGGGTGGATAAGGAAATCCTTTCCTAGAATGAGCATGGTGACCATCACAATCCGAGTCCTCTGCCTTGGAAGCATCGTTTATCCAATGTAAATAAAGTACGGACGCCTTCTTTTTATCATATCTTATATGTTTAAAGTCTAAAGTAAACGATAATTTAAGGATTTAATAATTATATTATTGAAAAGATATTCAACTATTTTTCTAACTGTAACTTGGCGAACTTTCATAACAGATTGCTCAACTAAGGACACATCTCTTCCCCATCTTGCTTTCACAGGGCAAAAGAACAAATATCATTTTTAACCATCTCCCTTCCTTCACTAAAACAATCAATCCAATTAATAATTGAACTTCTGGCAAGTCTTTTGTCTTCATAAATCTTGTACAAATTATTATATGCTACTGCAAAGGAATTTCCAAGATACACGTTAAACTTTACAGCCGTTCGTTGCTCGAGTACGACTGAGTCAATCATTTTTTGTCACAAGTCACCTACATATTGACGTCATTTTCACATTGTGACGTCACAAACATGGAGTAAAACATTACATAACATCTGCTATTTATAGAACATGTGTTTGACTATATGTCTGCCAAATTTCATTCCGATCTGAATTGTGGTTGTGTAAATATAGAGATAGTTCGCAAACTTTTTGATCACCCCTCATAGACATACTACAAGTATTGTTAACATCAATATGAAATAACCAAGAGTGTACATGCATGTACAAATGTTACAAACTCTAATGCATTGCAAGCGTTGACCCCCCTCCACTCCAACCACCACCACCACTACCACACACACAATATGAAAGTTGCACACTATGTCACTTGCATTGAATATACAAACCCTTGGGGTTCAATTTATTTTTTTGAAAAAGAAAACACATGTAGCAAAGGAGATGTACAGTTATCCAAATGTTAGCTGTTAAATTCATTTAAATTAAATTATTTCACTTGTTTACTTGTACATCATTTACTACTATATAGTGGAATGATTGTTGGCATACAGCCATGTTACATAATACCATGCCAGAACAATGTTTTAATTACCCTTTTGTCAGAGGATGGGTTCCGCCTTCAGTTCGGGACCAAAGAGGGTATTTAGGACAGATGTACTTATACTTAAAAAATCTCTTCCTTTTTAGAGGGATGCATTATGAAAAAAATATGAGATATACAGTGTGAAGTCCTTTATAAAATTTAAGAGTTTTATTATACCTGGTTTTAGGCTCCTGGGTACCGACCAGTCACAATCTAACCGATCGCGGACCCGATCCGAACCAAAAACCAAAGGTTCGTCTTGCATTTCTTATTTAGATTTGTGAATTTCATGACCCTGGGTCATGTGTTCTGGTTTTAGATTAGGGCTATTTTAATCTATTGTGGAAATGCATTATTTCTTTGAAAATCTTCCCTGCTCCTTGGTATATCGAAGGCAAACAGATTAAAAGTTTGAATAAGCAAGGGCATTTTTACCAGAATTTTGAACATCTGGACCATTCAAGCATTCGTTCTGGCCAGGGCTCTGTTTTGTATTTTACTGAGAGTAAATATCTTCATTTGCCATTTATTTTTTATAATTAATCACTGTAAATAAAATATTTAAAGGGGTTCATAGAATAAAGAATTATGCTAGAATTTTTATCGTATAATACAAAAAGTACTTTCATAGTTTAATGATCAGGTAGACTTGTAAAAAATAGATAAATAAAAAATGAGACAAAAATAACATATCTTATTAAATGTTCTTCAGAGAGCTAGAGAGGCCAATTTGACAGGTTTAATATGCGGTTGTCGAAGTACAGATGCACTAACAGTTTGATAATAGTCTGCTTGGTGAAAGTGATAAATGGAAGACAGATTAGAACTTGATTTATAAGTTGTTACTGATTACTAGACTAATTATTTCGTTGATCCTGATCATCCTATTTCTCTTGCTTTTTAGCAACAAAGATTCATTTATCAGCTTATTTTATACTCTATGGATCCTCTCAATTGTTGTATTATACTCAGATGGTCATTGGACCTCTTGTTTAATTAGGTTTCGAAAAAGGTCATTTAACCTTTATTTCAGTAGTTAAAGTTTAAATAGCTAAATCTTAATTAGTCTTTCTTGTTTATAGATATTTTTATTACTGTTGTTATATGTATATTTCGATAATGTATATATCCTATCAAATATTTTACGTCACTTAAGGTAAAGCTATAGTAAGCTTTTCTGATCAAACTTTGTCCGCTGTCTGTCGTCGTAGTTGTTGTCGTTGTGGTAAACTTTTTACAATTTCACCTTCTCCACAACCACTGGGTCAATTTCAACCACACTTGACACAGAGAATCGTTGCGTGAAGGGGATATAAGTGTATGTAAATGAGTAATAAAAGTTGTATATAGGAATACAAAGGAAAAATCTTGAAAAAAGATTTTTCAAGAAATGCAGTAATATTTATATGGAAGAATCCAGAGGTAAAGTATATTCAATTTTGTTCAAATCACGGCTCCCTTGGTTAGAATGGGACCACAATGTGCAATCAAAGTTTTACATAGAGATACATAGAAAAATCTTTAATTTTTTTCCTCCAGAATAGGAAAGCCATGATTAGCCGTATGGCATATATGGGGACTTTGAACAGTATTCAAGTTCAAAAGTCAATTAAACAATGCAAATTTTGGAGCAGAGCAAACACAGACCTCTAAAACATCAGAGGTGGGATCAGGTATCATGGAGGAGTGAGCATCCCCTGCCGACCGGTCACACCCGCTGTTTGCTCCTTGTCATTATCAGGAAATAACGGAAATATCCGTCGACATTTCAATTTGTAAATAATGGCCTAACAATTAGTATGAAAATCGTCAGTCAGCATTTGACTTAATGATAAATTGTATTTGCTGACAAGGTCATTGTATCGACCGTAGAACGTACGAAATGACGACTTTAAACGAGACTGCTGATATTCTTCTTTCATCATATTGTTTGTCAATAACTTACCTCGATTTAGAAATTGTACATACGTAGAACATGCTCTTGCGTATCAAATCAACTGAGAGATATAAACCCTGTATGCAGGTGATGAGGGTATATTGCTGGATAAGTAAGGGAAGTTGACGATTGAAAAGTTAAAGTCATCACTTTTATCATAAAGCTTGGTTGTTAGATTACCACTAATATCTTTTTCTAGTAAAATATCCAGATATGAAACAGATGTGTCAGACTCTGTGGTATCTTTATTTCAAGCTCACCGGGATACATGTATATCGTATCAACATAATGGAAATAACCATTATTAATTGGCAATACGTCGTCCATATATCTAATTGTCGAGTTGAAGGCCACATCAAGTGTTTTCTTCTTTTCACGTATAAGATTTTGAACAAATTCTGCTTCATTTGAATACAAAAAAGGTCTGCTAATAACGGGGCGCAATTGGTAACCAGGGGATTTCCAATAGATTGTTGGAAGACCTGGTCACCAAACCAACATAGATATTGTCAATCAGAAACTCAAGCATCACTTTAATATCAACTTCAAAGTACTTGTGTTTACAATCAGAATGTTTTTTAACAAAATAATTTTGCAAATGACTAATGACAAGGTAAGTAAATTTAAGAGTTCCGTTTTTATTGAAGAAGCACCTTGTTTTGAAAAACAGTCGTAAAAATAAAATAATTACAATTATTAATGCATATTAAAAGTGTCTTTTTATCAAAATAGATCCATCAGCGTAATGTGCTTTAAAACATTTAATGAATCGTGAATTCAGGGTTTTGCCTGTTTTTACAGTTTTCATCTGTTAATCTATAAGTAATAAAAGGGGTAAAAGATATTTATATAACCTTTTAGCCTTCAGAAATGTCATCAAACTGATCTCTAAATATATATAACAAATCATATCTTTTTAATATGTTTAAAAGACTATCAAAAATAAATACTGTACATGTATATTACATAAATATAATGCACATAAATAATGGATGATTTACCTAACGACGTTTGACCATCATCACGGTTTTCCTTATAGGTGTCCCTTTATCAATAGGATACCAAGGAAATGCCCAGTCGTCAGAGGCCCACAGGCCATTAAGGAAGGCCTGATGGCACCTGTTAAACCACCAGCCCCCTTTAAGTCCGGCAGCACAGCTCCCTGCATCGTGATCATTATCCCTGTCTGGAGTACTGAAGTACATCCCAGGCAGATGAAGGGGAGGGTCCCCAGGATTTCGCATCCTGTCTCCTAGAGAATTATAAAAAAATCATAGGTTTTAACAAACTTTTTCTAGATCATAACATTTATATTGTTAAGTATCAAGCCTTAACCCTAGCCCTGACAAATCATAATCCATATAAAAAGTTAGAACTATTCGCTAAGCACTTTGAAATTTGAAGTTGCGATTCTTCTGAAGAGACCTTATACTCAAATACCGTGTTTGAAAGGAGTTTGAATACTAAGGAACCGTATTTGGTCCATGGCGCTGATTGCCGAGTATAGGTCTAAATTAGAATTTATTTAACGGTTAACTAGTAATTTCAGATCCTTATGGCGACCTTATTTAATAACCTGTCATATGTAGAAGTCGTACATGTATATGTCATGGGCAGGGGTGAAGCAAAAAAAAAAAGACCTGAAGGATCCTGCTTTGATAAATGATATCTTTACTGTGAAATAGGCTGTGGGTTTCTTAGCACCATAGTTTTATTTGACTTTATACTTTATTTCAAAGGCAAATGACCAATATTGTATGTTCTAATGGTTTAGTACATGGGATAAGTCGGTAAGTGAAGTTTTGAACAGGTAAAAGTTTGTTTGTCAGGGTATTATTCATACAAATAAGGTAGAGCTAAACATTGTTAAAAATCTATAAAACATTGTGATATGTAGTCATTTTGCGTCTGCCTTCACTGTAGCCAAAGTGTGTTACAAGCTTTGCTTTGAGAAATGCTCTTCCCAAACGATTTAAAGATGTTTTAGAGTACATTTACGAAAACATTCTAAGAAAAAAAAGTACAATAAAATTTGTAAAAAAGAAATATGTTTGATTATAAAATTATTTTCAGACGTTTTTCAACATTTAATTTCAAAGAATGTTAAAAATTGTGTTAAAGACATGCCTCAAAAAAGTAAATAAATAAATAAATAAAAAAAAAACAAACAAAAACTCCCACCCACACACACACAAAAACCAACAACAACAAAATAATTTATATGTGTATTGTTCATGCAAAGGGAAATATAACTGTGAACATCGATATAATTCTGAGTAAGGGAAATTTGGAATCCGTTATGACGTTACAGTAAGCAGTATGAAGTGAACTTAACAATGTTTTTCCCCAATATTTGTAAACGAAAATTTATTTCAACACTTACCCGGCGAATAAATGAAAACCATGAAAAAATATTATAAAAATGCTACACAGGGGTAACTTCTTTCGAACGGTGACGTCATTAATCCTCATCATAACGAGCGAAAAATCACTTGGTCTAGACGGAATGTAAACAGATACCAAAAACAGGTTTTAACAAGCAAGTATTCTTAAATATTATGTGCAATTCTTATGGGATTACAGAATATTAACGAGGTATGCAAGATCAAATTGGTTTTATCCATATAGTTTTTGCGCAGTCCGTCCGTCTGTCTGTCTGCAAAAACTTTAATCTTGCCTATAACTTTTGATTGGTTGCAGCTATGGCTTTCATATTTCACATGTGTACTCCTTGTGACAAGATCATTTTTTGATTACCATCATATTTGACCTTTTGTCCTTAAAGTTAGACCCACTTTTGCAAAATTTTATGAGACAACAACCGTGGTAATAACATTTAAACAGTTGGTGCTTGGGCTTTCAATCTTCACGTGTATTCTCAGTGAAAAGACTTTTATTTGGATACCAACAACATTGACCCTTTGACATAGACCCTGGAGTTTGACCTTATTTTGAAAAACTTTAACCTTGGTCATAACTTTTCAATAGCTGGTGTTACAGGCTTTCATACTTAATATGTATTGTGCTTGTGACAATACCTTCCTTTGGATACCATCAATTTTGGCGTTGACCTTGGAGTTTGACCTACTTTGAAAACTTTAACCTTGGCCAAAACTTTTGGTTCTAGGGCTTTCGCATTTTACGATCATGTGTATCACTTGTGACAAGACCTTCCCTTGGGCACCATTTGACCTCGACCTTGCCGTTTTACGTACTATTAAAAAACCTCAACCTTTGCAATAACTTTATTTCGCAGGTATATTCCTCGAGACAAGTCCTTGCTTTGGGTACCAACATTTTAATCTTTTGACCTTGAGTCTGACTTGCATTTGACAACTTAAACCTTCGCCATAAGCTGCTATACGGGGGGATCAGTGTTTAACAAACACATCTTGTTTTTTTTTTACTTATTTTCTTTAATGAAGACAAGCGCCGTTTTTCTAAATACTGGCCAGCCTTTCCTCCGTTATTCTTGACAAAATCATGGAATGCAAAGTAATAACAACATAGTGAATGTGGCTTTATGAATAGCAATAGCTCTTCTTGCCTATTTTCCATAATGCGCTAGCGCCCATTATGGAATATTTCAGCAAAGCAATTGCTATCTCTAAAGTCATTGTCAATAAATAACATTGTCTATTTCTAACATATTTTCAGCTTATGTAGCTTTAATTCGCAGCCACCTGTACAAAGATAAATTTGTGTAACATACCTAAGGTTCCTGTAGCATTTCCCGCCAAAAATAGTTTATACTTCTCGGCTTCATCCGAAACAGAAAACTGATCGTACAATTCATACTTTGTCTCACCATTCTCTAGTGTAATGGTAACATATAGAGATGAGTCGTTTTCCTTTGTAAGCTGATTTATGACGTCATTTCCTATATAAAGGTATATTTGAAATAATTTTTAAATACGTGCATGTAGCAAATACATAAAGCAAAAATAAATCCAGCAAAAAAAAAAAAAAAAAAACAAAACAAAAAACAAACAAACAAAAACTAGAAAACCAAAAACAAAACAAAACAAAACCGTGCATAGGGAAAAAAAGATACAGATTTCTGTTAAAATTATAAAATATCAAAATCACAATTAATTACGAAAAATTCTTAAAAAAAGTTCTTAAAAAAATTCTTAAAACCATGTAACTCGATTTTTAAATGTGAACCTTTTTTTTTTTAAATTTGTTTTAATAATTATCGAAAATCCAGATTTTCCATATTTATTTCAATTAAATATCATAATTTAGTTTCTATTTTACAAAGGTAATTTGAAAACAGAATAAGATATTCTCGAAAGGGAGGTTAATGAAACAACTACAAAATAAAAAAAAAAAAAAAAAAAAAAAAAAAAAAAAAAAAAAAAAAAACTCGTTTACTCTCTTTCACGCTTTGTATAAGTGAAGTCATTTTTAAATAATTTTATAGAAAGTAAAATAATGCTAAAAATAAAATGTGCCGACTTAAACATGGCAAGAATAGAATATTTCGTTCTAGAGTTGCAGAGTAGGGAATTGATCCTTATGACGCAGGTACGAAACGGAAACCGATACTTTAGATGAGACCTTATAAACGTGTCGCAATAGATGCACTTCCCTTACTTATGCAGCAATATACCCATATCACCTGCATACGGGGTTTATATCTCTCAGTTGATTCGATACGCCAGATCATGTTCTACATATGAACAATTTCAAAAACGAAGTTATTTATTGACAAACAAGTTGATGTACCAAGAATATCAACAGTCTCGTTTAAAGTCATCATTTTGTAAGTTCTATGGTCGATACAATAACCTTGTCAGCAAATACAATCTACCATTAAGTCAAATGCTGACTGACTTTTTTTCAAATAATTTGTTATGCCATTATTTACACACTGAATTGTCGACGGATTTTTCCGTTATTTCCCGATAATGACAAGGAGCACACGGCGGGTGTGACCGGTCGGTAGGGGATGCTCACTCCTCTATGGCACCTGATCCCACCTCTGAAGTTTTAGAGGTCCGTGTTTGGTCTACTTTTATTTTGTAATGTTAAATGGACTTTTGAGCTCGAATACTGTTCGTTATTTCCACATAATTCATGCTGGCACAAAAACAGAAACTCTTTTAAGATCACTCTCAAAAGCCATATAACCGAGTACAGATCTCATTTTGCAGCCTTTCATCAACAATAGGTGGCCTGAAAAATATAAAGTATCCGTACAAGTGTTATGGGACACCGGGTCCCCAATGTCAATAATCTGTAATATTTACGTTTGCTGTTTTTTTTCTACTAAGCCACTGTGAAATTGATTTGAAATTCATTTTTGTGTATACTCACGCGTAGAAATATACACAATGAAACTCGTGCTAAAGTGACCTCACAATTAGGCTACAGAGACGTTAATAAAAATGTAACGATATAGGGCAGCAAGAAATTTAAATATTGAGTACATCATTGGTTCTTTTTAATTTGTAAAATGTAAATATAAGGAATGTTTTTAAGTTTTGTGTGATTCGTTGGTGTGTACATCACACAGACTTGTCACGTAAGCATATTTCATGAAGCGCGCTATATTTTTAGTTACCTATCCAGACATCCTGTTCCGGTGAACCAAATCCATTCTTATATTCTGCCCAATTCTTATTAAAGCTCTGGGATCCATCAACACGTTTTTGGATAACCTTTGATAGATATATTTTCATTCAATCGTTACTGTGATGAACGGTTGTAAGATAAATGTATTGAAAATTGACTCAAAATGTGTATGTTTTAAAGCATATTTAAGCAAATCAAAAAACAGTATCAGGAAAATGTTTCCTTTTTACCGTATTATAAAAACCTGATATATCGATAGAGTGCTAAAATATCTTGTTTTGCTTCCATAAATTTTCACTTTTCAAATGCGTCCAGATAACCAAAAGCATTCCCATTATTTGAAGCTTATAAATATCGTAAATACCGTCCATCCTCCGTCCATTGTTTCCATGTCGCAGTAAACCTTGACAGGACTGGACACAGTCCCATACGGATAAATTTCGAACACTCCTGAATTAATCTGACCATTTTCAAGAAAATCCTTACAGTCTTGTGGAAGAGCTAAAACAGAAAATAAAATATTAAACATATTAAACTGATTTGATTTCATAAGATTAAAACCGACACAATGACAGGTAGATATTATTACTTACTAGTATTAGGTTTGTTACTGACTGTCTAAAGTAATGTGTCTGGTTGATCAATCTCATAGAAGGTAAGGCGAGCCGTCTACGATATTGATCGACCCAATATATTTCTGCAGACAGTCAGTAACAAAACAAAAATAAGTGATTTACTTTCTCAATGATCATAGCTCCGTGCTCAAACCAATGGAGGTGCGATATTCCAATCCAAGGGAAAATAAAAATGTATTTCAATTTTAAGAGGTACAATGTATTTGTTAGATACACCGTAAGTATGGTTTGATTGTGATCTAGAATGTGTTTGTTTGTTTGTTTATTGTTTAACGTCCTTCTCGAGAATTTTTCACTCATATGGAGACGCCACCACTTGCCGTTTGAGAGCTGCAAATTTTGACCTATATTCTGCACTCAGGCCTATTGAGCAGTGAGGGATCTTTTTTCGTGCCAGCACTTACTGGAGGGACCTCAGTTTATACGGTCTCATCCGAAGGACCGGTCTTCCACGTCCCACAGTCGGATTCGAACCCGCGATGTAAGGATCAACTCCTTACTCTGCGATTCTAGAGCGAACGCTCTAACCACTACATCACGCGGGCAACGATGTAGAATGTGATATTATAATTTGCTATAATTTAATATTCAATACTCTCCTTCAATTCTTTCGTATAAAAACTTTATTTAAACTTCAGATTTTGACATATTCAACAGAAATTATAGATAGACAAAATGTAATATTTATATTGTAAATACGATTCTGTTTAGAATAAAATCAACAGGAAAAATTTACTGATGAGACAGTTTTCATAATCAGGCATAATAAAAACAAAATAAATAAAAAAGAAATCCCTCATAATCATAAATGATATATCCTATTAAGTGTTTTATGACATTAAAACATACGATGATGAGAAAAGTATCTCCATCCCGCCTCGTCAGACATGTCAGACACGAAGATGTTCTTGTGCAGACGGCACGTCTTCAATTTACCATTGTATCCAAAGAAGGTACAATTCTTTTTACACACTTCAGAGCACGCACTCAGCGATCGAGCTGTGTATTCTCCGTATACTTCTTTATTCGACGTTTTATTATCTAATTCCTGTTTTGCGGTATATCTCCGCGAAATGATGTTAGCTTGTGACGCCGTTAAGAATATAACAATTAAAAAGACAACCCAAGGACTGCTCATATTGCACTAAGTGATATGTTACACAATTTACTGTGTGCCTTTCAAACTTTGCCAATTTATTTCTTAGCTGCCAAGTATTAATATGAGAGCCTTAAGTCATAACAGAAATGTGATTGGGTAGTTGCTAGTGTTTTGAAAAATCGATTTCATGAAACAAAGTGATTCGTCCCTGGGTAAGAGTGATGAAATCCGATGAAGAACTTAATACATTTATTAAAATGGTACATTAAATGTCCATTACAGGATTAAAAATGTATATATCTTTTTCCAATTACATATAGTTTCAGTCCTTGTTATTGGTAAGTAATATATTTTTTTTTATTAAAAAAATATTTGAGGATATTGCTCTAGTGAGCAATTCATATATTTTTAAAGAGATAGTATTTTTAAATTTCATTGTATTAAATTACAGATCAACATCCAGATAGACATTTGTACATTATAGAATTTGTGGGAAAGCCTATTCCCAAAGAATGGTGAGATTGAGATTGATATGTTTTTAATCTTGAATATTTTTTATGATTATTTTGGGAGAAATATGTAAAGATTTATATATTCGAGAGTTATCTCTCTTTCATGAAAAGTGCAAAATGTAAACGATGATAATTGAATTATCTTCATGTAAAATAATGAACATTGTGTGTTATATATTTACATTATATTTATTGTTGTTTTATTATGTTTACAGGGCTATATATTACATATAATTTTGATTCCAATATAACTCGATCACTCCACTGTGCAATAAATCTTTGAAGAACCCTGACAGCAGTTTTGTGTTTCGTTTCATACCCCTGTTACATATGCTATCTTACGAGACGTATTTTCAATGATGTAAACTCTTTACTTTTTTAAATTGAAAAATAATTATAGATAAAATCTTATTTTTTTTAAATGTGCAAATAATCTTAATTTACAGCATTAAATTAATTTATGTAAAACATCTGACATGGCAAGAAGAACAACTCTGATTTCTTTCTTCGTTCAATTTACATTGAATTTCTTGTAATCTGATAATTTCTTATTAGCAACTGACCAGATGCTCTAATTTTGCGCACGCCTTCATTCTTCCAGCGTACAATATTTACATTTGCTGTGTTTTTCTACTAAGCCAACTGTGAAATTGATTTGAAAGTCATTTTTGTGTAAATATACACGGTGAAACTCGCGCTTCATGAAATATGCCTATGTGACAAGTCTGTGTGATTTACACACCAATAACTCACACAAAACTTAAAAACATTCCTTAATTGCCTCGTCAACATACATTCGCCAGTCATCTTGATTTGTTTTTATTGTGGGATATTCAACCCCTTATTATCGCAGGTACAAAGCTCAAATCTGTACAACGAATTTCTTATTTATGTTATTTTGTTGGATTATCCTTTATATGTGCCTTGATGAGATTCTTTAGGCTGCTTCTGTGTATGCTTTTTGTGTTTGACTGGCGAAAAACGTAAATACATTGCTATGAACACCTATTTTTCATGCGAATATCATGGAAATCACAATGGAGCTGAAGTTGAAGGAAATGTGTTAATGCGCACGTATGTTGACTTGAATTCCTTTGTTTTGCTTCGCGCCAGTTTGCCGGTCTAAAACCATGAGTTACCCAGTGAACTTTGTGGCTATTTATATATTTCCCAGCATCCAAAATGCATTGCGGTAAACATTCAAAATGGCGTCAGTTTTGATTGCTGGAAGTTCACATGTTAAAAGATTTGAGCAGTTTGTGAATCAAAAGCAAGAATTTCGGAACTTACATTTAAATCCAAATGTTTGTGTTACATTTTATGGTGTGAGCGGAGGAAAGCTTACAAAAAATTGTCACTTGGCAGCTTTAGAACAAAAACTTAGGCACGTTTCTCCAGATTTTCTCATTTTACATTTAGGCGGCAACGATTTGGACACAGCAACAGCAGATGAGACATACGCTTACGAATTATGTTTACGTCTTTGTTGTATTGCGGAAACATTTACCAGTCGATTTAAAATTAAAAAGACTGTTATTTGCCAGCTGATGCCGAGATATCGAACACGGTTTTTAGATATAACTATTTATAATGAATTAGTCATAAAATTTAATAAAGCCTTGAAGAGGGAGCTGGTGGGAAAAGACTTTTTGCGGTATTGGAATCTATCAGGTGTCAAAAACAGCGAGCGTACAGTCGTTTGTGATGGAGTCCATCTGAACAATGAATGGGGCATGCCAATTTACTACAGAAACTTACGTGGGGCGATAATCCAATGTTTAAAATATGCTCGTCAATATTAAGGATTGGGTAAAATGGAAATCTATGTCAACTTTAGCAGCACATTTTCGTTCAGGTTCATTTCCAACTACAAGAAGATAAGTTTATTTAATATCTCCATGATCTCATACAAAAATTATGAATTATAGTATGTAATGCTTAAATCTATCTATACGGTTAACCGACACTGGTTTTTTAAATCATGAATGACAACAAGTATGACTGCGTTAAATGATTGTATACTGTACTTGAGATATCACTTCTACGAAATGTCATAAAACATTGCATGCGAAATATATGTTTAATTAAACCCTGTACTGTTACAAGTGGTAAAATGTGATTTAGTATCAGTTCCAGTTGACTGTGAGCTGGCACAGTTGTAAACGTACATTTCCGAAGGCATGAGTTTGCACAGTGAGCTGACACTAATGCATCTCGTATGATGTTGCACGTACGTTTTGGAAAGTGCTATGGCACATAAAGTATGCATTTGTATGACTGTGCGTGTATGATGTGTTATGTTCGGGCGAATTGAAAATGTACGCTGGTTCTGATACAAATATGAATTGAGTTACTCAAGCACTTGTACATATGTTTAATGAGTGGTGATATGTTAACTCTGCTGTAATTTAATGGAATACAGATGCTTTCTCTTATGACTATGAGTATAGACATGTATGTGACACTCATTCATCTTCTTATCAGGCATTATTAATCGCCAGGTTAACGTGAGAGCTTGGTACATCGATATTGTGCAATAATAAGCGTATCGTAATATGGCGAGGAATCCTGAGTGGGAGTTGGTTTGAGTTTACAACTAGCATGTCATTCGTATGATATGACTTAAGTATTGCATTTTTATTCAAGGTAGTGAACATGCCTCCTAAGCAGAAAAAGCGGAGGACAACAGAAGTGAGTCAGTTGAGCCTCCGCCAAAACAAACTGCAATGTCCAAAGAATGCTTTGAGGATAAAATCCAAAGCGTCATTCAAGCAGCTATTCCTAGTATTACAAAGGCAGTGATTGATGAACTTTCCAGACAACAACAGACGGGCAGCGCTACAACGCAAAATCCGCCAACGCAAGAGAAGGAAGCTGTCAATGTCAATGCTGCGGAACCTACTGTTAATTTGGGTAATTTTAACAGCACCTCCCCTGACGTCCCCGAGAGTATTACAAAGCCTCTAGCCCTGGGAATTGATTCAAAAGTTCAATCTAAAATATGGGCAAATGAATACGTCGACTTTGGTACCTTACTAAAACCAAGCGAAAAAGAAGTAAAATTTTCAATTGAAGGTGACAATGGGCTAACATTTGTTAAAGAAAAAAAAACTCCTCTCAAAATTGAATCTATTTCTCAATGGTTGAAAGCTTTCCACATTTTGTAGGTATTTTCTGCGAGAGGCATACAAATGATGTCACAAAACTAATGAAATACGGAACGACTGTTCAAAAGCTTGCTGACCAGTCTACTGCGTTAGCAGCTATTCAGTACGATAAAACGTTTCGGCAATGGAGAGAGATGTCTCCAGCTAAACTCCCATGGGACCAGTTAAACTTAGAATTGTATCAGGAAGCATTGGCATCTGGTTTGCAATCAAAGTTAAAGGGAGTAGCACAAAAATCTAGTTTTCGTCCCTTCCAGGGTAACAAGGGGAAGGCGGGTAGCAATAAACTCGTATGTTACAACTACAATAACTCCGAACAAGGAATTTGTTCTAGAAAAGACTGTAGATTCTCCCACACATGCCAACGCTGTGGCGGAGATCACCTTAGAAAAATTTGCCCATCAATCCCAAAACTCCCCATTGCACCAAACAAAAATGAGCAAAAATCAACCTCCCAAACCGGAACATCAGAAATTAAGCACTCAGCCCTTAAACTTACAAAATAAACACTTTGATATAGTTACCCCTGTGAATCCTCAACGGTTACAACATTGGCTCTCGGAATACAATAATAGTGACAGAAAATTTTTAGTTGATGGCTTTACAGAGGGTTTTAAAATTCCCTTTCAAGGTGTTCGTAAGCAGAGGTTTTGCAAAAACTTAAAATCAGCTGATCAAAATTCATCAATTCTTCAAGATAAGATAAATAAAGAGGTTGGTTGTGGTCGAGCAGCTGGACCTTTCAAAAATACTCCATTCAAAAACTTTCAGTGTTCATCATTAGGTTTAGTACCCAAAAAACAAGAAGGGGAATTTAGAGTAATACATCATTTTTCTTATCCTGAGGGTCAATCTATCAATGATGGGATCCCGCAAGATATTTGTTCGGTACAATATCAAACCATCGATGATGCGACTAATTTATTAAAACAACTTGGTAGGGGAGTTTTGTTCGCAAAGACAGATATTGAAAATGCTTTTCAAATCATTCCAGTTCATCCGTCAGACCATGAATTACTGGGCTTTAGTGTGGGAAGATTGTTTTATTTTGACAAGACCTTACCAATGGGCCTAAGTTACTCGTGCAACCTATTTGAAAGATTTAGTTCTTCATTGCTTTGGATAATCGCAGCTATGTTAAGGCTTCCCGAAGCTTTAAAATGCGCTCAAAACATATCATTGCGAGGTCGGTTTCGGTTTTAATTTATAAGTATTAAACTTTTTACTTCCAATTTATATAAAGGGTTTCCTCGGCTATATATTTGCATATTTGTTATGACATCACATGACTTTGTTGATCACGTGACGATCTTTATAATTTTTTTGAAGTGTTTCATATAAATCGCTTCGGCGCAGCTGATTAACACAATAATTATTAACATTCTGTTATATAAATAAACTCATCATATCCTTGTGTATCCGAAATGTGCTTGGGAAAAGTCATAGTATTGCTTGGGTACAAAATATTTCCTGAGAAATTCAACTTACCTACAAATTTGAGGGTATTTTCCACACAGTATCGTAATCTGTATTAAAACAAAGCCAACACACATTTTTCCCAAGCAAGATTCAGTTAGAGAACAACCTCTTCTTACAGATTTCCACAAAAATTCTCAGATTAATCCTCATTAATTACCTGCGCCAGACTCTTTTATACACACAAAATAAATTCTACCTCCAACCACATTTCAAAAGTATATTTTTCATAAGCATTTTGAACATGATGAATTTCAATCAAGGGTAGGTAAGCGGTGTATTTTTAAAATATTCGGACATATAAGACTTAAAAAACCTTAAACGACCCGTGAATTTTGCAATAGCTATCTAGCATTTTACATGCAGTTTGAAATAAAGTGTAAAGTTCATGACACTCTCCCCGTCATAACACCTCAAGTTTGCAGTGACCTGACGTCATTTTCCATTATGACGTCATGTTTTTGTAGTTCAGAGATGTGAAGGCACAGAGTGCACTGTCATATTCTACGGGAAGCCTTAACCTACCTGCAATGGAATACTATTACCAGTCTAACTGTGTTCATGTTTTGGATGACTTTCTTTTTATGGGACCAGCTCATTCTGACAATTATTTGAAATCCTTAGAGAACTTCTTTAAATTATGTAATGATATCGGCATCCAAATCAAGGATGAGAAAACAGTGTATCCCACAACAACAATAACATTTTTAGGTCTAGAGGTTGACTCCCTGGCTATGGAAGTTAGGTTACCAAGGGATAAACTTGATAAGCTAAAGGATACATTAGATTCGTTTAAGCACAGAAAACGAGTAAGTTTGAAAGAATTACAATCTTTGATTGGGTTACTGAACTTTGCTTGTGCTGCTGTCCTACCGGGTCGCACTTTTCTAAGATGGTTAATAGATCTTACGAAAGGCTTAAAATTACCCCACTTCAAACGGAGATTAAACAAAGAAGCAAGGGCTGATCTTGAAGCTTTGTCTATATCCATCAATAGATTTAATGGTCGGTCTTTGATATTAGATGAAAGATGGGAAACCTCTGAAATTCTATCTATGTTTACGGATGCAAGTGACCTAGGGTTTGGGGGTACATTTAAAACAAAGTGGTTCTTCGGGGAATGGCCACAAGAGTGGTGTCAATATCACATAACAGTCAGAGGAT